CTGGCTTTCACATGGATCCTAGGAATCTGACCCCCAAGACCTCACACTTGGATAGCACTGTACCTACCTACTGAGAGTCACCCACCTACCCACTCACCCACCCACCCGTGACCTTCTTTTACTTGATTGACAAGCAGATATTACAGTTCCTCACCAAGATGCCTATTAATGACATGCATTTCATTTCTAAACTTGTAAACGCCTCCTTTCAACAACACGCTGCTCCCTCACAGACTCCCAGGTACGAGAACCTCCTTCCCGGCCTTCTTACAAAGCAAGCATGTCAACCTACCCCACAGCTCAGGTTTCTTCCGAGTGCACAGAGTTCTTCCGGCTAGTTTATCTCTCTTACGGCACTCCCGACTTTCAGTTGGCAAATTTACTGGTGGAAGCACGAATGTTCTCACCTCTAGTTATTTGAACTTCTAAAATCTTGTGAATTAATTTTTCCACAGAGAGAATTGGTAAAAAAAAATAAAAAAGTTTCTTTCAGAAAATACTTTTGACCATTTATGTTGTGCTGACACATTGCCACGTGCCATGGAACAAATAAAATAATGTCACAAAATATGTTGTTCTCCTAGTAGTTATGGTTTGGTTGGCACATGGGAGAACATGACAGACAGTTCTAAGCATCACAATGGTCCTGAATGAAATGCATTTCGTATGTGGTTAGAGGATATGGCTGTGTTAAGTTGGCAAGGGTTCATGGAATTGAGGGCACGGTTTTCTAGGTGGGAGTGAGGAGAAGGAGGGGGAGTGGAGAGGAGAATGAAGAGTGGGGAAGGGAGGGAGGATGGGGAAGAGAAAAGGAGCAAGCTTGGCTTCTCCCTGTTGGAGGATCCTGACGGAATATCTTGTGAAAAGAGACATTGGCAATAAGATCAAAGGTTTATCTTTTCGAGTCAATGGGAGACTGGTCCAATAGGAATAGAGAGATGGGTTATGTTGAGAACAGTGGAGAAGCAGCTGGAACATTGTAGAGCATTAGTAAAGAGAAGGCTTTTAACCTACTTCTATCCTGTAAGCCTCAGCATCCTCTCTCCGTCAGATTCTTCGTTTCTTCCAGAGTAAATATGGTTCTTGGATCTGTGTTCCTTGTTCTTCCATCGCTACAGTTTCTACTTAGTTCTGGATTGTTTACGCTTGTATACATGTGTGTGTGTGTATGTGTGTATATGTGTTCATATATGTGTGCATGTATGTATGTTTGGTTATATACACATGTGTATATGTGTGTGTGTATATGTGTGCATGTATGTGTATATGTGTGCATGTATGTGTGTGCATGTGTATGTGTGTATATATGTGTGCACATATGTGTGAGTGAGTGTGCATGTGTGTGCCTTCTACTAAGTGCATTTCACAGTGGAAAGAACATGCCCTAGTGATATTTTTCTCTTAGCTCCAGGCATGTAGTGATCGACTATGTATGATCACATGCATGTCTCATTCTGGATGGGAAGATTTTGGAGAAGATTTGAGGAAAGGGCTAGCATGAGGAATGTGGGAAGTCAGTCTTAGCAATGCATGAAATGGATTTCTGGGAGTAAAATAAGGGCTATAGGCTTGTGATAAAGTCAGTGGGAAGTCCTGGATAGGCTTGTGATAGAGTCAGTGGGAAGTCCTGGATAGGCTTGTGATAGAGTCAGTGGGAAGTCCTGGATAGGTGATAAACCGCACTATTATATGTGGAGTCATCTGTCTGCGACTCTGAAGACCCACGCCAAATATCCACTACGTCGTGCACAGTAACTTTCCATGAGATAGCTCATTTTTGTAGAATAGGCTCATTAGCAAGAACAACATTACTATTAAGTGATAGCTAATGCTTGCATAACAATTACCATATGCCTGGCATGGCCATAAGGGCTTCATATAAAAATCATGTAATCTCTACAATTACACAATTCATATAAGAGAACCGAGGGAGGAAACCCTCTGAGGATCACAGTTAGCATGTGAGAACATGTTAACCAGTAGTGCTCACTTTAAAAGGAGTT